TTCATCTACCCATGTTTTATCCAACACATTTTGTAGATATAAAATACATATGCAGTTTACATCATTTAAAACATGTATAAAAATCTTTCACCCAGCATAGACAACAAGTATTCAGACAATATGCACACATAACACGTAATTTATATTAAAATACTTCATATATATGTGTAAGATGAAAGGGACTATGCACTCACCTGTTCAGGTGGTGATTCCAAACTTAGACAGCGCTTCGTTACTCTTGAAACAATTACCTTCGTCAAAACCTAGTATCATTACCACTAGGGTTTAGTCTATCATTCACCGAGACTAATTAACAGTGTAGCTACTATTACTATTATATAAGCGTTAAATAATACTTATATAACCCATAATAATAGTCCAAGTACTTATTATAAGTTTCTAATAATGTTACTATAGTTAATTAAAAGCTATATTAAAAATAGCGTAGGCGTAGCTCACTTACAGCAGGTTTTATAAAAAACCGGACTTTGCTTGGAGCACCGTTTCCAAATCGAAAGACCCTTTTTCTCGGGACTCCGGGAGCCTCGGGGATTCCTTAGGGTGCTAGGGGGTTCCCTAGGGTTTAGGGGAGTTGGAATGGGTTAGAGAAAGAAAGTATTTAGAGAGAGGGTGAAGAAAGGTGTGAAAATCCGAGAAATCTCGCACCTTATTTATAGGACGGAGGTCCTCGGAATGTTGGGCGTTCGGAAGAGCTATGCGGGGCGTAGCTTCGGATAAGGTCGACAGGTGTCTCGCTTCGGATGGGGCGATGTGGAGCTTCCGAGACCAAGCGAGTCCGAACGCAGGGCGTTCCATCTACACGGTGCGTATGCGAAGCGACGTGTCCTTATCGGATGCGAGACCATGGGGAGCAAGGGAAGGCTAGGATCGTCCCACGTCATCATTTCATGCATCAGCTTTGCAAATTGCACCCTTAACTTCTAAAAATCATAACTTTCACATACGAGCTCCGTTTTCAACGTTCTTTATATCCACGCGTAGGTGGGAACGTACTCTACGACTTTCGTTTAGTCTCTGTTGGTTAATTTTGAATTTTATTTTAAATTTTATATATTTTTGACAGGTCGGGACTGGATTGGTCTATTAAAATTCCATAACTTCTTCATCCGACGTCCGTTTTCGTCTATCTTTTTACCGTTACGCTACTATTAACGAGATCTTTGATTCTCTTTTAGGTTGTGTCGGCTAGAAACCGCTCGATCTAATATTCGAACTCTGGGTTGTATACTGCTAAGCCAAAACTTTGAAAAATCATAACTTCCTCATACGAAGTCATATTTGGGCGTTTTTTTTTATGGACACACTTGGTTTAACATATTCTACAACTTTCGTTTAGATCGCTAAGGCTAAAAATCTCTCTACCATAAATTCACTATTTACGCTTCCTAGTGTCGTGTCGGTTCCGACGGGTCATAACTTCTTCGTTATAACTCGGATTTCGGCGTTCTTTATATCTTCGGAATCCTTGTTTCGACCACTACAACTTTATGTAAAGATATCGGGCTTATCTCACACTTTAATTTTGATGCTTAATTTTATTCTTTATTAATTATACATTTATAATTAAGTTATAAGCACATAAATACACATAATTCTCATAATATTCAAATATTTCATCTTTATTACTTCAAAAAGAGTTACATTAGTTGACCTAGACTATTACATCATCTAAAATGCTTAGCCCTGAAACCCGGGCGTTACAGCATTTTTTTCGGCTCCCCCTGGCTTGTGTCTTGGGTACCGTTTCTTGCGTAGGTGGTGGTTGTGTGGTATTTTGTTGCATTGTAGAGAATGTGTTGAAAAGGTTTTGTAGAAGGGTTGTAGGGAATTGTGGTAGGGGTGAGGCGGGATTGAAAAGGTTATCTTTAGTGTTGAGGATGTTCGTGTACAACTCGTATTGTGCAAAACCGAGAGGCAGTGATGTATTTGTATTTGGAGGAGGAGTGTTGGGGTTTTGATTCATAGTGATGGAATGAGAAATTGTTTGATGATTTAAAATAAGATGAGAGAAATAATTTGGATTGCAAGTAAAAAAATAAAGTTAGATATGTACATATAGCTGTAAAAATTAGAGTTAAAGTTGAAAAAATAAATTTGGTTTTTTTTTTTTTACATTTTTGATTGTTTTTAAACGGTTCAATATATTACCGTTGCGAATTTCGATCGAAATTAACCTGTTTCCAACCATTACCATACAAACGCGAAGTAACGTAACGTCGGATAACGCATGCCGAGGGCGGTGTAGCCGACGTTATACTGGCGTTTTTTGAGTGCCATGTCGTATTAACAGGAAATCTTGTTGCCCGCTCTCACCTGTCTGAACATTTATGGTATATATGTGGAGCTACTTGAGAGGTACTGTTAATCTTAGTATATAATCGTATCCAAATTCGGTCTTTATCCCTTCCGGTACCCAAGTTAAATAAATAATCATTAGGTTTGTGGGTCTTGTGGGTATAAGACAAACAGGGAACAAGCTACGTCACTAATACTTTTTGTATGGTAAAGTCAATTCTTTTGAAGACTACATTCATAGATCTAGAGATATAACATTGTTATGTATGATCCATTGTACACTATTAAGAAGCTTTACTGGACATATCTCGTGATAAAATCAATTCTTTTGAAGACTACAACCATACCGTGCATGTATTTGAACCCCAAGAGTTCATTAATGAACTCCATGCTCTCCAAAATAGATAACATGCCTTGTGGCACACAAGACATATGTCGTCATCTAGAAATATTAGTATCATAAGCCAATATTTAAGGATAGTATGATACTCTACAAGAGACATATGTTGGCTAAACTCATCTATATGGATAGCTAGAATAAAATTTTAAGCATGTGGTGCAAGTAAACACTGGAAAACTGTTTTCTGCCGAACCATCATGTCAAAATGCACTTTCATGTCTTTGACAATTTTACTAAAAATGGCATTCGCCAGTGTATTCTAAGATTTATGGGGGTATTAATTTCTAAGACCTACTTCAACCTTACCATTAAATATTACACTATTTTTGTGTAAAACAAAAATTCATTTTAACCCTAACCACACACTAGAAAAATTACACTAAAACATATTTTAATACTATAAAATATAAAACAATAATTATAAAAACTAAAAAACAATTAAAATAACCATTTTAAAGGAAACAATAGTTTTGTGATAGTTTTGTGTTATAAATAGTTGCCTCTATAGAGCCATATGTCTTCCCAAAAAATAAAGTCTCTTTTGGTGATTGATTGGAACATTTTTGATCTCTGTAACAAATGTTACATAAATATAATCATCACCATACAAAAATTATAGTATCTGAATTTCATAATAAACTAATCAAAGTCGTAGCGCAGTAACTAAAAACAATATCACCTATTTTCATTTTCATTTTGAAAAGTAAGGAGTAGTTACATAACAAACTTTCTATTTCTAATTTCACATACTAAAATAATAATAAGATCATATATATTAATAAAAATAACTTTTAAAAAGGTAATGAAGTTTCAAAAATATTCAAAAAATATCATTGTTTTATTTTTAGTACTCAAAATACCATTAAAGTATATTTTTTATACACAAACTAGCAATGAAGTACACATGTGTTCGAATAAAACATTGTGGGTAACCTGTTACTGCAGGTAACTGAAAAATATCATAAAAAGGTAACAAAGTTTCAAAAATGTTCAAAAAATACATTATTTTTTTAGTATAAAAAATACCATTGAAATTTCCAAAATGTTCAAAAAAAAAAAAAACCATTGTTATTTTTTCAGAGCACAATTTGTTAACTTCGTTGTTTCCGGATTATATAGAACACAGTCATCGGAGATTAGTCACCGCCGTACTAGTTCACACCAGTTGTTTATTATCTTTCATTCCATCACTCAATCAGTTTGTATCTAAATCCATATTTAGGAATTCTCATGGCATAACATCACACTCATTTCTCCTCTGTGTCTCTCTTGTATCGCAACACTAATGAACGGCTAACATTGATGTACAATATGTGCATCTATATAACGTATATATGTTTTAGGCTTGAGACATATAATGTGATCAGGAAGAAAGAATGTTTAACTAATGTTATTACCCACTTACTTCTCTTGTTACCATAAGAACAATCCAGTGAAAGAATGAAAGAGATTTGCACAATTGTTGTGAACTGATATAACGGTTCATGATCTCTGGTGATTGTAATTTACATAATCCGACAACACAATTAACAAATAGTGTGGTATTTTTTTAACATTTTGAAAACTTCGTTACACTTTGAGTTATTTTTCCATTTACCTGAAGTACCTAGTTACCATAATGTTTTAGTTGAACACATGTGTATTTCGTTGGTATTCTGTGTACAAATAATAACATTAATGGTATTTTTTTTACTAAAAAAACAACAATGGTACTTTTTGAACATTTGGAAACCGGGTAACTTACAATAGCCGGTAAAATGGTATTTTGTGTACAAAAAAAAAACAATGATCTTTTTTGTACATTTTTAAAACTTCGTTACTTTTAAAGTCATTTTCCCTAAATATAAATATTATACAATATAAATGGCTTGAGGACGGAAACTAAGACGGATAAATGAGATCGGGTAATCAGACGAATATAACTCTAATAGCATAACAAATGCTAAACCCACAAAAAAAAAAAAATTTAAGATCTCATACTACATCTCATAACCAATTACCCGTCCAAGAAATGTATTTTTGTCATCCCAAATGGTATATTTCAATATTTGTAGTACTTATAGGTGAATGCACAAATATTGGATATTTTAGTTCAAGAACATCAATGTTTACCGATTAACTAAAAATGTGGGTTTCGTTTACTTTTAATTGCACATTATAACTCATTTGCCTTTGGATTATTAAACCACGAATTTTGATTTATAATACTTTATTTTTTTTATATGGGTTGGTTACCAACAATTGGCTGTAAAACTATAAGACCAACCATAATAATTAAAAAAGTTCAACCAACAACTTGTAAATTTACAAAGGATTCGAGTAAAAAGCTCCCACAAAATGGGAATGAACCTTTTTCAAATCATTTCAAAGATGAGTAAATCCATAAAGGAAAGGAAGATGATAAAAACAGCAATAAACTATGAAATATGTTTGTACATAAACATCAAAAGATTTGTTCAAGGGAGACCAATAATTTAAACTCCACCAACCATAATAATTCTTTCTAGTCTGTTCATTATTCACACTCCCACCCCTCAAAACACAAAATCCAACATCCTTCCCTCCCTTTCTTTGTCCACAAAGAATACCTTAAAGAAAAAACCAACTAACATTACATGCCAACAGGTCATCCTTAAATAAAACAAAAAGAATGCCACATCATCACCATCATGGACCAAAGTTTCCCAAAAGTCTCTCAACAGCAGCATGAACATTACCCGAAGTAGCACGTAACGCCCTAATATTCTCTTGCACATCAAAGAACCCCATCTCCTGAAGTTGAGACAGCTGAGTTGCATAAAGTTGCTCTGGTGCCACTACAAATTAAAAACAATAATCATCATCATTAAATAATAATAAAAAGTTTGAGGGGTAAAAACGTAAATTTACAAAAGAACTCAGACTTACCATCAGGGACATTTGGGACTCCCATGCCACCAGCTCCAAGCCCACCAAACATACTCATCAACATGTCTAATCCCATATTGTTTTGTGATCCTGCAGATTATAAACTTAAAATAATACTAAAACAGCATATGATATAAAAATTATTAACAAAGGAGGTGTCTAGTTTGTACCTGGAGAAGCACCAGTCTGAGTAGGATTCCTGAAATGGAAGGATAAAATGGTCATTTAGAAAAAGAAACAGGCCTCATACATATAAATACCAACTTAACTGGATCATTTTGGCACTTAGATCAAATCAGCTACAGTAAATTAAAAAAAAAAAAAAAAAAAAAAAAAAAAAAAAAAAAAAAAAAAACTCATTTCCACTTACAAAGTTGATTGTGGTTGATTAAGCTGAGGTAGAAGCTGCTGTAAAGACATCATTTGCTGTATAAAATAAATCAAGTTATCATCAAACTCAAATTTCCATCACTCAAAGACAACAAAAAACAAACCAAAAGAATTACTCCACAACATGTATACCTGCATCATTTGAGGTGAAGTTAACTGACGAAGCACCTCTGGATTCTGCATCATCTCCCTCAACTGAGGGTTAGAATCGAACATACTGCGAAGTTGAGGGTTTTGACTCACAATCTACAAATTCATATCACCAACACCATTAAAAAATAAAACTATAAAAAAACTTCAATACCTCAATCATATATAACATACCTGCTCCATATACTGGGGATTTGAAAGCAAGCTTTGCATCATCTGAGAAACAGCTGGATTCTGCAACAGCTGGCTCATGTCCGGCATGCCACCTGTCCTGTCTGCCCCTGGTAATCCAAGACCACCTAACCCAGATACATTGGGTGCCCTTGTTGGCTGAACACCACCTAATCATTATCAACATACAAAGATATAAGATAATAGTTTCAGAAAAAAAGTCTTGAATGTGAAGTTTATTATTATGTCTTTTATACCAGAAGGGGCACCCCAAGGGTTAGGAAGTGGGTTAGAATTAGGAGCTGCAGAGCCTGGAGTTGTTTCAGGGTTGTTGTTGTTGTTGTTGTTAACATTAACAGCAGGACCCTGGTTCCCAAGTAAGGCTGCAAACGGATTAGAACCAGGGTCATTTGTGGTTCCACCAGTTGTTGTGGCATTCAAGAAAGGTTCTTGAACATTTTCATACATACGTCTAAGCATGTTGAAGCCTTCAGGAGATGATTCAATGTTACTCATGGCCCTATCAGTGTTACGCATCATCTCACGCATAAGTTCAGGGTTCCTTGCAGCTTCGAGTGTCTGTCTTAAAATTGCAGGGTCGTTGAGGATATGAGCAAGCTCAGGGTTTCTGTCAATGATTTCACGCATCTGAGGGTTGCTCATGATCATTCCACGCATGATTTCAGGGTTGTTTAAGATGTTTTGAACAGCTGGCATGTTCATCATGTCTCTCATCATGTTTGGGTTTTGGGTTAATTGTTGCTGGACTTGTTCAAATTCAGGTAGTCCAGACCCAAAGGGTGCACCAGAGCCACCAAGTCCACCAAAACCAAGGCCTGGAAATAGGGGTGCACCTGAGCCAGGACCGCCTAAGCCCAGCCCTTCGTTGGGAACACCACCTTGAGAACCAAGTGATGGAGTATTAGGGTTTCCAATGGCAGGAGGAGCATCAGCTGGAGCAGGAGCAGAACCACGCACCATGTGAATTGTATGATCTGCCTGAAGGCCTACAACACAAGATAGAAATATAAATGAAAAGTTCGGTAGTAAAACAAAATCATCAACAGTTTGTAGTAGCAAAAAGAGGACAGCGGTAACACAGAAGAGTAAACGATTATAACATGTTAGATCAAGGTTACTGTTTTTGTTTGGAGATGAAAAAAGTACTCTCTTTGTCTTCAAGTGAAATTATAGGTTTTGTTTGGGCGTAAGGGACTAAGGGAGTAGTATAAACAGAAAAGTAAACGATTATCAACAGTTAGATCAAGGTTACTGCTTTTGTTAGATTTGCAATGTACGGGTCTATAAAGCAGTATAGAACACTTTCAGGCAGATTGCAGATAACCTTTTTTTGGCAACATCGACACTTAATCGCAGCAATATAAGAATCGTCAACAAATTATACCAGATAAATTCGATAAGTTCTTCGCAAATCGAATAACGGAATTGATTAAGAAAAGTGTTTACCGTAACTATCTAGGGTTTGATCATCCTTGAGGATTCTTCCTTTATAAATCAACCTCTGTTGATTGGCAGGAACATCGCAGTTTTGAGCCAAGAGATCTTTGAAATCGACGACGGTTGATCCGAGGCTCGCTCGCACCGAGAACTTATTGCCGTTAGAGCATCGGATGTTGAGGGCGATTTCTGCATCGCCACCGTCAACGGTGGAGACACCCGTTTGAGTTGACTCTCCCTCGACACCCATTAAACAAAAACCCTAATACTAGAAACGGAATCCGCAATTCCACATAAACAAACCGCGATTGAAACGAAGTACTATAAAAGATTTGTGAATTGAGATGGAGAAGATATAGATGAGTTGCCAAATCGGTTGATTTATTATTAAATTAAAAAGGAAAAAGGGTCAAAATCGGTGAGCCCACATTCAAAAATTGGGACAACCCAAGAAAATTAATTTGCTACTTTTCCAAACAAAACATAATAATAATAATAATTTGATGGATTTGAGTAATGATTCGAGCTTATTGTTGCTTATGTTTAAATCAAATAAAGCTTTTGTTTGTAAAATGATTATATGTGATTAATGTTTATAATAGACATCATATGTATTTAATAAATTCAGAATGTGTGATTTCTCTTTCTTAATAGAATATGTATAACTTAATAATTATCGTTACGATTGCTCACTTTAGGGATGTCAAAAAGTTTCGTAGGATCCCGAACCCGTGGGGTCCCGATCTCGAATGGGAAATATTTGTTTAAAAAATCGGGAAAGGAGGCGGGGGCGGGGGCAATGTTAACCCCCGTTTTAGTTTCGGGGGCGGGGGCGGGGGTGGGTAGTCTCGTCCCGAACCCCCAATGGGGACCCCGTTAATATATTATTTATATTAATATATATTAATTATAAAAATATAATAAATAATAGCAATGATTTTGAACTTTCAAAATTCAATTAAATATCATGTTTTTAAGCTTATAGTATAACATTTTTAAGATGTTATAATATTTTTATTTTAAATATATAAACTTATGCTATAAATAACTATTTTTATCCAAAATGGTTTCTTTTAGCTCAAAAAATAACTTTTTTTAGCATAAACAATACCTTCGTTCGCCAAAAAAAAGTCAACCCAAACGGGGGCAGGGGCGGGGGCGGGGATGCAGAGATTAGAAATTTCGGGGACGGGGGTGGGGGAACAGAAAAATTTCGGGGGTGGGGGCGGGGGATGCAATCCCCACCCCGTTTACTCCCGTTGACATCCCTAGCTCACTTAGTATGATTTGGTCCTCCTCCGCGTCTCATCTTACCATCTCAATATCCCAAGCTCAGTCTCTCGAGCAATGTATTGAGTCGTGGACTATACTATTTGCTCTTTTATGCAATTTTGTTGATTTTATCATATAAAAGATTTGTTTTAGATATGTAACGATTATTGTTTGAATAAAATATTATATATTAGGTCATTAATACTAACCATTTTATTTCTATAATTAGAAAAAAAAAATGAGTTTTATATTAAACTAACTATTTTAGTTATTGAGAAAGTGTTAGTTCATGTAAAATAGTAAAATCAACAAATCATATCAAATATTAAATTACACATCACCTTGAGACGTACAATGTCATTGGAATTTCAGTAGATCCTTGTGCCATGAAGATTTGTGTTGAATAGCTTCAAATATTTATTGGATATTTTGTATTTAAATGGTGGTTGATATTCGTCGTTGGATCATTGTATCATGAAGTCTGGCCTAGAATAATTCTAAAAATTGCAAATCTGAGATAATTTAATTGGTAATAAGATTACAGTTGATTGTTTTTTTAGTAATGCCTTAATTATATTTTGCAAAGATACTTGTGTAATTGACTTTCATGTTGCAAGTACTTTTGATTACACTTGGTGGTGTGCCATTAATGTCTTGGGAAACATGTCAAGTGATTCGCAGGCAAGTCGTATGAAGTGGGTCACGTATATTAGGAAACATGTTCCATCTTGGGAAGTGAATCATAAAGACTTGATCGAGAAGATAATTTCAAATCATCTTGAAAATTTCACGTCAAAGTAATATAATTTATGGTGTGCTATCGTATTCTTAACTAGGTTTAATACTTATGTATTGCATGAGTAAAATAAAATAAAATTTTAAATATGAAAGAGTAAATATCAAGGATTTCTGGAAAAAAAATGTTTCAACTTCTCTAAATTGGAGACAGTTTGGATGAACGAGAAAATTAGATAGTTATGAACATAGGGTGTGACAAATGTACCTAAAGTTACATATTTATTATAATCATATAGTAAAGTGTATTGTCATAGGAGCATGTAATTCAAAGTCTTGGCCTCATATTCACATTCTCTATCTTTTGTATTACCATGTTGTTGAGTTGGCTAAAACTAGGTTTTTTGTCTTAGCTCCTTCAACTTCAACTTTTTTTGTTATTGAGCTTTTTATTCTTTTGGATGTGTTCCTCTTTTCTCCCCTTTTAATTCATCATCAGCTTTAGGATCCAATAAATGTAGCATGCCATTAATTGATTCCATGTTGTATTTAAGGATTGTCATGTGTTCTCTAGTATATGTTGCTTTCTCTACTAAGAACCCAATACTTTAGTTATATGTACTAACTATTAACTCAGTCTTAGACTGTGTTTTGCGTGCCACAGCTAGCTGATAAGCTAGTTTATTTTTCGAGCTTTTTTATGTTGTCGTGTTTGGTAAGCCAAAAAGTAGCTTATAAGCTAGCTTTTTGAAAAGCTAGTTACACTAGCTTTTTAGAAGTTTTTTTAAAATTTTCCAAATACACCCCTTAATTAATTATAGAAACACATATTCTTACATGTCCTTTTATGTAATTTTATATATTTCAGCTAGCTTTTCAGCTAGTTTTACCAAACGTTATTTTTTATCATCTAGCTTTTCAGCTATCAGCTAGCTTTTTATTTAACAGTTAGCTTTTCAGCTAACACTTAGTTTTTCAGCTAGTCCGCCAAACATAGCCTTAGACATCACTTTAAGCATTAAGAACTACAACTAACTTTGGAGTTCTCATTATAGATAACACTTAGACATCAAAGAAAAACTTTTTCTTGATTATCCATCTTTAACTCGTCACTCTATTCGAATTTTGAACTTGGATTTGAAATTAAAGCTTTTGATGAACTAACACCAGTTGAACAGATGTTATTGAAGATTTCTTTAATCAAGTTGTTTTCCAATAACATTTTCTCCCTAATGGTAGTTAATTTCTCCCTTCCATGCAACAAAATAAATTTGTCTATTATAGGTGGCTTCTCTTTAAGCAAATGCACAGATTCTAAACATTTGAAATGGTTGTTTTGTGCAACATCATGCATGGATGTCTCTCGAGATTGTCAAATACCAAGCGAGTTCTTCCTCAATGCTCTTGGCATACTTTTCAAAATCTTCTTCGAAAATGAAATTGGAAACATAATTATTACTAAGAAGACTCGTGAAGTTGATATTGAGCTACCGAAAGAGGGCTATATTGCAACACGGACCTTACCAACTTCTCAATGTTTTTATAGTCTTCTGTTTTAACTTTTTCCTTTTCATATGGACTTATAAATAGAAAGTCATAAGTAAGTTGCATTAGGGCATCTACAAGATTTTATAAAATTCAATGGATTCTCACATCATATTTTTATATTCTATACAAATCTATTAATTTATAAATAAAAAGTTATGAGTATGTTGCATTTTAGTGTTTGACTAGGACTTTACTTGATCATGGAAACAAACTTACCACATTTGTCAATTAAATACGTAGAAGTTCCACAAGGACATGATTTCTTAATTACCTTAGTCTATCTAAATTTGCACACTTGGAATCAACGCTTTGATATTTTCTTAAAAATTGTTTGTAGATTTTTATCATGAAATTGGGAACCACACTTGTTATATATTCGTTGAACGTTTTAGTGCTTTTATAATATGCATAAAATGCATTTAAACTAAGAGCCTAAAGTCAATATTTAGCTGCTTAATGATTATTATACAACAACAAAGATCTTATCAACCTCTCAATGAGTGATTTTCTTGTCTTTCATTTTATCTTTTTCTTTCTAGATAGACCTAAAAATATGAAGTTGAAAGTGACTTGCATTAGACTTCAAACCAACTGAGCTAGAGCCTGGGGACTACTAACTTATATTATAACTTTATTTAACTAAATATATTTACAAACGAACCATGGCTTAGGTCCAAGAACTTTTAACTAAAGTTGAGTTACTAAAGATCTAATATTGGTTCGATATGGTTATTATATCCAAAAAAAAAAAAAAAGAGTTCGATGTAACCTAATAGACCCAACTAATCACAACTCAATTCTAGCTTATGTTTTATGGTACACATTAGGGTTTACTTTCTTAAATTGAAAAGTTTATTGAATGATCGAAGATTGAATTGAAAAGAATACAAACTATTCTTGACACCAAAGGTCAAGATCTCTCCCAAGTCCCAAAATGATTTCTCACAAAATACGTTTCAAGATACCAATTTCCTGATATCGACCTCCAATTAATACTTGCACAAACAGACCTAATCTAATAGAATGACGAAAATGCCCCTGCCTTTTTACTTTATTACATCAACAAGGCTTTTGAGATGCCTTCAACATCACGCACACTTGACTAATGAGTAAAGTATTCTACACGTAAAAATCAATGACAACCTTTTATAATTTTCTTAATTTTAAAATATATTTTTGGTTATTGGTATGTAGATTAATGAAAATAACTTTTATTTAACAAAATGACAATAAAAGCAAATTTCAATTTCAATACTCATTAAACCAACATTTTTTTTTTTCCAATTTTACCTTAAATTTTACTCGTTATATGATCGTTAAAAAACATAAGATTATCAAAACAAAAGTCAAACATCAGAAGTATAAAACATGCGACTCCATCCCAAATATGTAAATCATATTATATGATGCTCATGCTGTGCACAAATTGTGTTACATTTAATTCATATACTAAGAAGCAAAAATGTGAGACAAGAATATCATGATAACATGAAGCTGTTAATGTTACAAAGTTGAAGATACGGATTATCAAACTTCACATACCTTGACCAATAAGACCTGTACTTAGCAATCGCAAGATCTAACCATGGTTTATAGTTCCCATTATAATGTACCACAGCCGCATTCTTAATCTCACTTTGGTTAAGAGCCGGGTCATATCCAAGCCCCAATACATGCCAACTCCTTTCCAATGGATGCGTCAGGTTATAAAATGTTATCAGTCCAGGTGGCAACGTCCCAAGCTTCCACAGAGTCCTTTCCTCATTCTACCAAAAAAAAATAAAACCAAATATTTCTTAGTTATCAACATCAAAAATCCACCATTAGGCAGTGTTTTGTTACATGGGAAGCTTTCTAGGGTTGTTTTCGATGATCAGGATGTCTTTTTACATAGACGAGAAACCGAGAGCGAATCTTTGTTCCACCTTTTTTGGTGGGACAAAAAGTTAAAAGTTTCGTCTCACTGACATTAGTCTTGGTCCCAATCCAATGCAACTTGTTGTCTGTCCTATCTTAAGTAACAAATGGGATCGAGACTAATATCAACGAGACAAAATTTGTAAATTTTTTGTTTCACCCGAAAAAGTAGAACAGAGATTCGCTCTTGGTCTCTCGTCTATATAAAAAGACATAAATGCCCTTCTCATCCTGATCATCGAAAATAGCCCTAGAAAGCTTGACTAGTAAAGTCATGTCCTGTGTAACAAAACACAATCTCAAAGCGCGCATATATAATAATTTATTGGTTTACCATATTTTGCCAGCCATGATAAATTCCAGTGATATCGCGTTTCTTCCACTCAATCAAATCAAACATATTCATCCCAAAAGCCCAACCACAAGCATACGGATCAAAATTATCCGAAATTTTAGGGTTAGAAAAATTCAAATACTTATCAAAGCGATGAAAACTCTCCTTACACGTCTCCACAGCACCATTCACCATCCCTCCCAAATCAACACCCCACAAAGGTGTCAAATCCTTCTGAACCACAATATCATCATCCAAAAACAATATCTTTTCCAACTTCGGGTACACTTGAGGAAGATAAAATCTCAAATGATTCAACATCGATAAGTACTTCGGGTTCCTATATTTCAAATTATCCGATCCAGCTGTCAATGTCGATGTCTGGTGCGCCTTAAAATAATACTCCTTCATCCTAGAGGATTCAAGCTGACGAAGAACAGGGCAATAAGAAGCATTTAACCAAGTAAAGTCATCCACATTTTGAACCTGGATCGTTGACTTTCCAGGAGGGTTGACCAAAAACCACATCTTCATGGCTGCAAAGTTTAACTTATCTGTCACAATATGAAAAACATGTTTTTCAGGCTCTTTCGCGTGTAAAACAGTCGAATTCACAACTACAGATGTTGCAAGGACGTTATCGGAAAATATCGCGTAGTGGTATAGATTTGGATCTTCAAGATTCTTGCTTTCTGGAAAGTTCTTTTCTTTTTCACTTAGCAAGAAATAATCTGTTGTGAGAACTAAAGGAAGGCAATGTAAGGGTTTAGGTACAGTTTTTGCAGCTAATTGTGTTAAAGATGCACTCTTTTTCTTCACTTCTTCAACGTTTGACTCTGTTGACTGAAGCATAACCCTTAATTTTCTTGCCATTAAAATACAATCATAGAATTGGTCTTTTGCTAAAGATAGAATGTGTCCCATTTCTTTAGCCCGGTCAACCGCACTGGTCAACACAACAAAACCCAAATAAGAAAAAGGAGAAATACATTTGAAAGTTTTAGTAAGGGTAAAATAGTAAATTGAGAAAATAGAAATACCTTGGGTTAAGTTCGCTATCGTAAGTGGCTTCTCCAATCGCTTGTTGGCTTCTTTTGGAATGTTTAATTAGGGAATCATAGATTCCGGTTGCATTTTTGGCTTTTGCAATACTTGCGTAAGCTTTTGCCATTATGATTTGGTCACGCATGAGTTTAACAGTGGAATCGGAATTAGGGCTTTCATATTCTCGTCTCCAAATACTGTATTTAGCCTTGACATGTATGTCAAAGTTTTTAGCACGTTCAATGGCAGCTTCCTGCATTTGAATGTCCCTCTTTTCGCCTATTTGGATCAACTCTGCAGTTCGACGATCCCTTCTTTCCTGGCGTAAAGCCTACAACGGAATTGGTGATTACCATCGGAAAGGGAATCGGTGATTACTATCGGAAACGGAATTGGTGATTACCTGACGCCTGAGCTTTGTTGGATGCACAGGAACCGATGGTTTATGCGGTTGTTTGTTTATATCTGCAAAAAGCTCATTGTTGGCTTCAATTCTTGTGTCAAGCTGATCTTTTAGTGTATGTACCTTTGACTCCTCTTTGACCTGATTGTCATCAATGGGATTTTTCCAAACCCATGAAGGAGATAAATCTTTGGACTTGATGGTTTTAATACGTATGGCACCAGAAGTGTCTGTGTATGTCACTATTATGTCAATATCCTGCATTGGATTACAAAGAGAGTGACATCATCATTGATGAGCACCATTAACATAACTAAATGTGGTTGATTACCTTCTCCACTTGATGGCTTCCAGCTGTCACAGAGCTTGTGTTAGCTTGTTCCTGTATATCCAAGAAGAAACTCATAAGTTGCATGAAATAAAACTGATCTGTTTTCTGTTCTTCAAGGTAAGGTGAGAATGGTACCTTCTTATCTATACACTGAGGACAGTCAAATAAGGGTCGATGACCATTAATCTCTTTTTGACTGAAAGAGCAGAGAATACAACATGATGAAGGTATAACTTATACGTATTCAGTAGAAAAAGTTTAAACAAATATAGCAACATTTATATGTATAACAGTTGGAAATTATAATGTAAAAAACAAAGCAAGAAGATTAGCATCTTACATAGTTAAAGTGTCAAATGCATCTGCTCCAACTAAAGAAATGTGAATTGGGACCTGTTTGTAAACATAAATATAAAGGGATTGTTTAAACTTAAGATACAATATACCAAAAAAGGGAATGTTATACATGATTAAACAAGACAAAAGATCATAGGCAAATTGGTCGTTAATATTTGCTCCCTATCATAAATGGTAAAGTGAAATAAGATAGGTTGAAAAGTGAAAGTGAACAGGCTCAACAATGGCAAGAATCAAACTTTTTAAGGGGAACAGATAGATAGCTTGAAAAGGCCTTCATCTATGACCCAAACTAGTTCAATTTATTATCATCTCTCTGTCCACAGAAATATCATTCCAAGTAGTAAGGCATGATGCATAAAGTCAAATCTCCATCCCTTTTTCCATTTCATCATTCATTAATTTATACTCAGTCCATCAAAATGAAATAGAAGTTTTACAGTTTCCAGTAAGGCTTTAGAACAAACAATAACTAAGATCCTTAATCAGTCTAGGCTTGGGTTTGGGTTACAAATGAGAAGTTCAAATTTGATGATGGATTACAAACCTATAATAAAGCAAGTAAATGACCACCATTACCATTTACACAAGTCCTGTAGACAGAAAATGTTGGTGCTCGGTTTGTCACATAACTAGTAGTACTTTTGCTAGTTTCACAACAAAAATCAGGGTGTAAGTTACTTAAAGTAAGGTTAGCAGCACTCAAGGATCCCGAACCAATTTCAATTATTACTTGAGATTCGTAAGTGTTAGAGATCCGATTTTCAATCAAAAACCCTAATGGACAAAATGTGATACTTTAACTATATGTATACAAGAATAAGTTGATTCAAACTGAAAATTAATTACCAGGAAGAAGAATATAATAACACGACATGGAGAATTTGTTAATATTCTACATAGAGCTTTCATGGCCGGTTGCCTGTAGAGATCAAAATGTTTCCGTTTTCGATCAGATCGAATGTTGCGTCCGCATCAGGGAGCTATCAGTATCTCCGATTCTGTAAATCATATGTTACCCGAAAAGGATACTCAGAAACGCGTTAACGTGTATACCCGTGTAGCTTATTCCGATTACATGAACGATGAATTTTGGTAATTATTTTAAGAGAGAGAGAAAGATTTAGCTATCATGAATTTTGTACTTAGACCCAACGATGGTTTAGGGTAAATTTTCAATGAGTCTTAGGGAAAAAAAATATTAATAATCTTTGATAACAAATATATTTTGAATTTAATTACGATAATATCTTTTATACTTAATATTTTTTATATATACCCTCAAAACACATATTAGAAATTCCAAAAAAAAAAAAAAAACATTTTGGAATATCTCTTGATACTAACAAATAAATCTTATTTTAGAGTCGATGATTTATAAATTTACTTTGTATACATATTAGGTTGTAAGATTTCTGTATTATATGGTTGATAAAAAAATATTAAATAGTAAAATATAAATAATAAGTATTTTTAAAATAAGAAATAAAAAAAGTTATTAATTGTAATTTACTATCACATTTATTAAACTACACTCATTAGCAACCTAACTCAACCAAATTTTTCTAATAAAAAACTAATTTCTTTCTCTTCCATCTATACAAACAAATCCAATCTAATTTTTTATACCCATTAGCAACTTATTCCAAATCTATCTTTATTTGAGAATATATAAGTTATTTTTATTTTTCTTTTACTAAAAACTACTATAAATATTAAAAATAAATATTTTATTTTGAAACAAATAAATTATTTATTTTAAACATAAAATTAAATAAAAATAGATAAAAAAAATATTTTACATTCATGAAACATATTTAATAAAATAGATAAAATAAGTTACAAATACAAAAAATGCAAACTACTAAATTATTCTTGAGTGCTAAATTTGTTTCCATATATGCTCAACCAAATCGTTTTTTAGAGCATTATAAGTTTCTCTATTGCGAACTTGTGTCACGTTGGTCATATAACTGGATAGATCTCTAATTCGTTGAGTAGAGTATTCAAAAGATTCTTTGTATTCTGTAGTTATAAATTATGATGGATCATAATAATGAAGGTATGTGTGTTGTTCATCCTTAACTATCATATTATGAATAATGATACATGTAATCATAATTTTTCCCATAATATCTTTATCCCACACAAGACAAGGGCATATTGACTTGATTATCATATTATGAATAATGATACATGCAATCGTATCTTTTCTAGCAGCCTTTTGATGTTCAACGAACAACTTGTGTTTTCGAAGTTGTGGAGAACTTATTGACTTGACAAAGGCACCCCATGAACGATATATGCCATCAGTGAGATAATAAGCCATATTATTTTCTCAATCATTTACAATGTAACTCACCTTTGATGCTCGACTTGCCAAGACATCATCAAAAAGAGGAGATTTTTGGAGGACGTTAATGTCATTGCACGAATCTGGTGTCCCGAAGAATACATGTCATATCCATAAGTCATACGATGCAACAACTTCCAAATTTATTATTGTCATACTGCTTCTGCCTGCATATTGTCCAGCCCAAGCGGTGGGGCAGTTTTTCCATTTTTAGTGCATGCAATTAATACTTCCTATCATACATGGAAATCCACAAACTTTACAAGAGCATCCCTTGTCACAATCTCATTCATTCTCAGATATCCAGCAAGTGCATCTGTTGGTGTCCTATATGCCAATACCCTCATAGTTTTAGTACATTTATGTATTGGTGATAAACCTTGTCTGTCTGTGACATCATGTCTTTGTTGAAAATATCGTTCATTGGCTGTAACAGCTTCTACTATGCAGAGAAATAGTGGTTTTCGCATTTGAAATCTACCACGAAATTTTGTTTCACCATACGTTGGGTTGTCAACAAAGTAGTCTTTCATCAAACGTGCCTCACCCTGCTCACATTCTCGATCACAATACCTCCTTCTTGCTCTAGGATGATCTCTTACGTTCATGTTTGGCATGCCTATGAGTAACTCACTCATGATAACATCAAGTTGTCGATTTTGTTGAGCAACTCGTGCTTCCCATCATCATATTCATTCACATTCGATGAACCGGAACCATCTGATGAGTTTACATTATGAGACATTTTTCAAAGAAATTAGAAATGCAGAATTGGAGGTGGACATGAAAATATGTAAGTGTTGTACTCTATTAATATAGGAAGAATATTGATTTTTGTTTTTTTTTCAAATCTTAAATAAAGATAATGCTAAAATAGTTTATCTAGATAAAATCCAAGGATCCAATAAAAAGACGACACATCACAAAATCTTAAACACATAAGATAATGGTTGTGACAACCCGAAACTTCTACCTAGTACAATTATTTAAATCAATCAAGTTTGGACTCGTTTTGCAATCTTCTAGCATTGTTTAGAGTCAAAATAGAGTGTTATCTTCAAGTTAGGGTGTGGAAAAGGGTCCCACAAGTTCAAATACTTCACAAAATGGCCATACACTCCATCATGAGGAGTGTACGGCCATACACCCCCCCTCTGGTCGTACACTTTGAGCTATAAATGGGGTACGTAGCCTCCATTCAATACTTTTCACCTCCCCTAGACATCAACACGTTTTCTCTCAAGTATCAGCCATCTTCCACTTCTAGAACTTCAAATTATAAGTATTTCTTTCTCCCATTTGATGATTCATTACACTACCTGGTAAGAATCTATCATTTCATGATTCAAGTGTTCTTCAAGAACACCAATAACACCAAACACATCTTCTAAGTTTTGGACCCCAAAACACCCCCAAAGGCTTCTACATCGCAAGTACTCATTCCCATGCTTGATACTTACTAGTTATGACTTTAAAAATCGTCCAAAATCATGATCATCAAGGAGTGTACGGCCGTACACCCTCATGTGGCCGTACACCCCTTTGTTTGATGCATATTAGCCTCTAAATCGGGTATAGACTTGCAATAGCTTGATATAAGCTAAGAACCCTTGAATTTTTGCATGAAAAATGCCATTTCATATGATTTTCAAGTGTGTACGTCCGCACACACCAAGTGTAGCCGCACACACACTTTTAGGGGCCCAAAATAGCATCAAACTTCCTTTCCGGCTGAGCAATGGTCAAAACACTTCGCTAGAACATTCCTAAGGCTTGGAAACACATTTTGGCACACTTCATAGTGAGTGTGCGACCGCACACACACCCTGGCTGCACACTCTGGTTGTACACACACAAAACCCTTGAGTTTGTAGCCTTACACTCCAATATAGGGCCATACACCCCTTATGTGCAACCATATGTGTTGGTAACACTTAATTCTAAGTGTTTTATGTCCCTAAGGCGTGTCCCTATCACCATTAGTGGTTATATACATTAAATGTATTCATATATGTGTAATTATATGTTCATAGGATTCGTTTGAGCTCAAGACTCCAATTGACACCCAACAATCCTATATCGATCTTTCATTCGAGTTACACACTACAAGTGAGTTCATACCCCTGAATCTACCTTTTAAATGATTTTAAATGCTTTTATGGAGGGAATACAAGTTGAAACATTATAGTTATTCTATCAATCACATGTGATTAATAACTAGAACAAATAGATAGACCTTCTTACACTTTCAAACTGTGTTATCAAACAATTATTTCAAAACATCTTTATCAAATCCTTTTCAAACAAAAACTATTTATTCAAAATCTTTTACTTATATTGTCCAAAAACATGTCTATATAGATATAGTTATATAAGTAAGATTGAAAGGACTTAGGACTGATAACTCGCCCTATTTCCTGTTCCTTGTTTGGTTATGGACTTAGAGTATTCGGTTGTTTGTCCGAGTGTCGTTTGAACCTTAGTTATATATTACGTATATGTATATAGATAAAAAAAAGCTTTTATTTCAGTTCAATACGCAAGCAGTTATTCAAACAACATTACTAGTAAACTATAATAGGTATAGTTTAAGAGATTACTACTCATTATTACTAGTACAATGAAACATACAAGAGTCGGTTCACTTATGAGACGGTACAAACTTACTATTATGAGAAACAGAAAGAACATACTATGATGAGAAACTAAGAGAACATACACTATACTATACAAGAGAACATACTATATACTAGTACAGAGAGAACATTAATACACTATAACTTACTATACAAACACTAGAATACGATAACCAGAATGTGAAATACTATTTCATGATACAACAATACATTGTTGTATCACATTGTAACCAGAGTCTCCTGGAGGGAGATCAGGCATTGTGTGTATAGATCTATATGGGACAGACACACCCACACCCCGACTGCTAGTTACAGTCCCAGCCGGTAAGGCCAAGGGGTGACAAAATTTCACCTCACTATTTTATGACGCCAGAAGGTCGTCAAGTAATCAGTCTTCGATCAGCATGGTTACAAAGTAATTCACATCTAAACCTTTAATTAGCCAACTCGAAATTAAAGGCAATAAGACTCGCCAAGGAGTATGGTACATTTAATACGACCTTGAGTCTTCATTTTTACCATTTTATAGTCAGCAGTGTCACTGTTGAGGTAGAGAACAATATTATCCTAGTAAATGATAGGAATAAATGGGAAGAAACATACTTTTGTACAGTAATGAAGTATTACTATATTTTCCCTACTATTGCAAGTACATATGTAAACATTACATTTTCATACAAAAACAAACATGTAGAATATTCGAGGTTTCAAGGTTTCAATACAAACATTTTGAAGTCTTTAATTAGTAAATGAAACTAAATACTTATGAACTCACCAACATTTTATGCTGATACTCTCTTTCAAAATAACTTGTATTCTCAGGGAACCAGTAAGACGGGTACACCCATGCAGATTTTGAAGGACGAAGTGGATCCAAGACTCGTATTTATTTTGATTATACATTTTTGGTGTCATTTAAACTTACAAAAGAACACACATGTATTTAACTATTCTAATAATGCAATGGATGTTGTTGCTTGTTTTTACTATTATGCATTGTTATGATACTGTACATGACGTCCTCCACCCTCGAATGTTTTCGCCAATTTGGTATGGGGGTGTGACAATGGCTGATTTTCTAAATGATAAGATTATACTCACAACTCTGCATTCAATAAAGATGATAATGACAACTTTGTATTCAATAAAAACATACTAGAAATGAGTAGTGTCTTTGAAAGATGATAATGACAATTATGTATTCAATAAACATGATAATGACAACTCTTCATTCAATAAAATATATTACAGGTACAATAAAAATATGAGATACAAATACATA